CGCGCCGCAGCCCCTTCTGGAGGCTCTGGGTACTGCGCCTGCCACGACTTACTTTTATATAGTGGTATTTTTGTTTTTTTTTTTTGCTGCTTTTGACTGTTTTCATGGGAAGTGAAAGAGCTGCAAAAACGAGAATAGAAAATAACTTTCAAACATTTTTGTGGTGACTGAACCGCAAAAACACTAAAAGGCAAAGATGCACGCCATCATTATGTTTCATCAGTTCCTCCTCCCAAATGGTTTGATTCCTGTGATCACATTTTCCCCTTCTGGTGTGTGTGCTATCTTGGTCTTGTTGAAAATCTTTCACTTACACATACATGGGGTGAAAATAAAATTCAATAGCTTCCACGAGAAAGCTCACATGAGAAAACGAGACTTGAAAATAGCGCAGGGCTAGTCATTTTGCACTTGCACTGCTCCCTCATTCACGCACGCACAGGCTGCCGCCAGTGGCCGGAGCAGCCACATGGCGACTGTCTGTGGGAAACCTAGTTTAATTAGCATTGCTTGCCACACTTTAATTTAAAGCGCCCAGTCTTCAGATTGCAAGTGATTGCGCACCCAGCTGCGACCTGCCTCTAAATAGGCTCCATGAGAATGTGTGTAGCAAGTCTGTGGGCCTGTGGCCATTGGCTTTTGCTCACGCATTTGTATTTTTGCAAGAGCTTCCAAGGGTGATAAGACTTGAGCAGTTTCTGTTGAACCAAATGAGCTGTTTCGCCACAACCCTTTCCATTATTGCCATCATCATGGAAAAACTGCGCGTTTTGACGTCGCAGCATTGCAATGTGAAATTCAACTAAAATTCACGTTTTGAAGGACGCTTTCCCTTGGGCCAAACCATTCAATTATCCTTTACTTGCAACTTGCGAACTTAAGCACACATGACTGACCTCAATTATCAACCCAGACCCAGACACCTAATAGTTTTTCCGCACCAGCAAGTTTCAAAAAACGCTGGCCGAAGCAGCCAGCAGACGGTGTTGGCCCTGGCCGAAGCAGCCAAAAGACCACTCACCCCTCGTCCAAAGGATCCCAAACATCCTCCTCGAATGCCTCTTCCTCCTCTTCATTGTCGTCGTCATCTGCCTGCTCTGCCTCGAGACGCGGCTTTTTCGACTTGGGCTCTGACTTTGCCTCCTGGTTTTCCCTTAGGCTTGGGAGCTGGCTTTGGCTTGGGAGCCGACTTTACCTTTGGCTTGGGGCGTGGCTTGCGCTTCGGGATCGCTGGCTGCGATGAAGAAGTCGTTGACCCCACAGCTTGCGCATAGGCACTGTTGAACAATGGCGAGGCAGTCTCCTTCACGCTCACCTTCATTAGGTCCAGGAGCCATTCTTCCATCAGCTTGACATGGGTGTCAATGTAGCAGATGCCCATGTACGCAGTCCTAGTCTTGACGCATGCCCACGCCAACTTTCCATCAGCTGGGCTCAAGTCCAGCACCAGCTTGGCATAGAAGGTGTGCAGGAGCTCCTCCATCAGCTCAAGCGGTGGCGAGAAGTAGCAAACAGGCTCGGGCAAATCTTTGGTTCGGTCGTTGATTTTTGGCTCATCCTCTCCACCTTCTGTGCGCCCGCCCACCGCGATCAAGTGGCGCTTGCCATACAGATCCTTTTTCTCCGACCACTTCATGCTCCATTCATCAGTGAGCTTAGGAAGGGCCACGCCCTGAATGAGGTCACCTGTTGAGCTGCCAACATAATGGAGTCTTGGCCGTTGTGGAGTAGCTTAGCCGAAGCAGCTAAAGCTTTGAAACTTGCTTCACTTGAGTGAAAAACGGCTGCAAACGAGCAAGTTGAAGTCTGAGAAGAGAGGGCAAATCGCCCTCTTCTTTCGAGGTTCAAGAACGTTCCCGAGCCTCGGGTGGAGAGGGCAGTGAGGGGACAACTATGGGCAAAACTATATTATATAGTGGTTGTGATTGCACGCATGGCAGGCATGAGTTCGTCGTTCCACCAGGGACTTTTCGGCGCGAGGTGAAAAAGCCCGATCGATCCCTTCAGGCGAAGGGTAGTTGCTCCGCAATTGGTAGCGGAGCCTGCTCAAAGAGCAGGCTCCCGCCATGGCTAGTTGAACCTGACCTTCAGGCGAAGGTCCTACGCATGGCAGCGATGACGTCTTCCACCTCGTCCGAAGGTGGGCTCCGTTTCTTCTCGGGGGATTCCGAGGATGGCCGTGAGTATAAACGCTGGAAGCAATGGGTGAAGAATAAACTGCTGACGCTTGACAAGTTGGCGGAGGGCTCCAGAGGGGCCTACATATACACCCTTCTCTCTGGCAAGGCCTTGGAGGCCGTGGAACATTTAGATCCCGAAAGCTATCAGAAGAAGGGCGGAGATGATGCCCTATGGGCCATTTTAGACAAGCGATTCCCTCAGCAGGAGACAGTGGATGAGCTGGGGGAGATCCTGACCGAGATCTTTGGCCTTCGCTCGCATGAAGGCGAATCCATGAGACAATGGACCGCCAGGGCATCCGAGCTGATGGACAAATGTCACCGCAAAACTGGAGTCTCATTTCCGGATGAGGCCAGGGGATGGCTGCTACTCCATCGAGCTGCTTTGTCGGAAGAGCAAAAGGCGGTGGTGATCGCCAGAGCTCGAGGTGACTTGAAGCGAGAATCCATCGCCTCCGCACTTCGATCCTGCTACCCAGAGCTGGTCATGACTCGCAAGCGTGCTGGAGTGGCAATTGCCGAGGAACAAGATGGTGGCGATGACACTGCTGAGATATGGGATGATGGTTTTTCCGACATTGAGCAGTTGTTGGAAGATCACCATGCTGGTGTCGAGGCGGGACCCGACACCGAGACCTTCCAGGAGTCCGAAGTCGCTGAGGTCCTGGCCGCCACCTGGAAAGAGAAGAGGCAAGAGTTGAACCGCCTTCAGAAAACTCGTCAGTTTCAGAAGGCACGAGATGTCAAACGAAGCTTTCGGGTGGAGATTGAGGAGATGAAGAGGAACTCCACGTGCAATCGTTGCGGCCGCAAAGGCCATTGGGCACGAGAGTGCCGATCGAAAGAGACGACCAAAGGAGCTGGCAAGTCGAAGAATTCTGGATCTAGCGCTGCATCTGGTGCAGCGGTGGTGCAGGAACTGGATTTTGTAGCTTCAGTGATGGCGACGCCTACGTTGCTGGAGCGAGTTCGCAAGCATGTGAATGACAAGAGTCAGCCTGATGTCCCAGCCACCACAGAGGAGATCCTGCTTGTGTCGTCCCCAGGCTATGGTGTCCTGGATTCCGGCTGTGGTCGGACCATTGTTGGACAGACCACTCTCCGTGCCTTTGAGAAGATTTGGAAACAGAAGGGATGGGCAATCCCGAAGCCCATCGATGAAGTGCATCAATTCAAGTTCGGAAATGGTGAAGTGGAGACATCCATGGTCTCCATTCAGATGCCTGTCGTCTTGGCTCATCGCTGAGGCGTGATTCGTGCTGCAGTGATCAAGGGTGATGCTCCATTGTTGTTGAGCCGCACAGCACTCAAGACACTGGGTGCGACTCTGGACTTTGCACATGACAGCCTCCAGGTGTTTGGAAAGACAATTCCCCTCCAAACCAACAGTGCTGGACAGTATGTAGTGCAATTGACTGGGGAGGATTCCGTGTGTTCGCCCGCAGCCGCTTTTACAGAAGTGATGGCATCTGTGGAGGCCTCTCCAGGTCCCACGGCATCTCATGAGCATGTTGATGAGCCGCAGCTTGAGCCGGAAATGCCTGTGGCAAACGCCCCCGAGTTGATCTCGCCGACAGCACCTGACACGGCGATTTGGGAGCAGGAGGACTGTGATGTCGTCACCACCCCATGGTTGTCTCGCCAAGGGCCAGCATGGAAGCATGTGTTTCGTAGGCGAGTAACCGACATCCAGACCTCAAAAGTCATCGATGATACCCGGATAGATCCAGGGACCCCTCAACACAAGACTATGGTAAAGTTCTTTGAACGCATGCCGCATGTGAAAACCGAGTTTTTCTTTGTAGGAAAACCAATGGAGGGTGTCATGACTGAAGAGTGGCAACCATCTCATCACCAATGCCGACAATTGCATCGGCAGGCTCAGGCATGCCTCGCAGTTCAAGAGGGTAGGAAAACCAAGCGTTGTTTGGTAATGGAGGTGTTTTCACCCCCTCGGTTCACGACAGCCGCCGAAGCAGCAGGTTTTCGTGCCAAGTCATATGACTTAGTAAATGGGTTTGATTTCCGCCTCAGCCGTCACAGGAGCACCGTTGAACAAGAGCTCACGACAGAGAAGCCACGTCTTCTGGTGTTGTGCCCGCCGTGCACTGACGAAGGCGGGTGGATGCACCTGAATAGCACGAAATGGACCCGTCTAGAGTACCTCCAACGAATGGCACAGAGTCGTAGTTATATTAGATGGTGCTGTAAGCTATTCAGACTACAGGTCTCTCTCGGAGGTCGAGCAATGTTTGAACATCCGACGGGGTCTAGGTTGTGGACATATCCTGAAGTTCAAGCCCTGTGCCGTCGATTCACGACAGTCAAATTGCACATGTGCAGGTATGGGCTTCGTTTGCCTGAGAGTCATAAATTCATCCGCAAGAGCACCCGGTTGCTAGTGACTCATGAAGACATGTCAACCTTAGGTTTGTTATGCCCTGGAAACGGTGATCATGCGTCACATGACGTAGTGGCAGGCAGTGCCCCAGGGGTTTCAAGTGTCAGTGAATACGCTGGACGATACCCACACCAGTTTGTGCAAGCAGTGCTTCAAACCGTAGAGGCCTTTCGCATGAGCAGTCACGACCCGAGTCCCATGCAACCATCGGCGGAACCTGCGGTGTGCATTCTCGAAGATGCGATTCCTGAAGAGAGTTGGTCAGAGGTCTTGGCTGTCAATGCCCTGAGTCAACGAACGGATGCAGAGCTCATACCGGTTTTGACCAAACTGCACAGGAACCTGGGCCACCCACCAAATTGTGACTTGGTCCGGATTTTGCGTCACGGAAATGCCAGCGAACAAGCTCTCAAGTTAGCCCGTGAGCTGTCCTGTGATTTTTGTAAAAGCCAAGCCAAACCAAAGAGTCCTCTTCCTGCACAGCCGAATAGGGTAACTGAGTTTAACCACCAAATAGCCATCGATGTGAAACATCTTCGGGGTTGGCAGCCAAACCAAAAGATCAAAGCTCTGAACATTGTAGATACAGCCAGCAGCTTTCAGCGCATGATTCCGTTCTTCCAGACGGAAACCGCAAGTCTATTGCGTGAACAGCTCAATGAACACTGGATTGCCTGGGCCGGAATTCCAAGGGAGATCATCATGGACCCTGCCAGGACAAATCTGGGTGACCCCATGACTGTTCCCGCCGAACTTGACGGGACACATGTGCGACCTATCGCAGCCGGTGCGCATTGGCAGTTAGGGAAATGCGAATCTCATGGTGGCTGGTTCAACCGTGTTTTGGAAAAGTTGATCGATGACTACTCCCCCCGAAATAGAGAAGAATGGCTAGAATGTGTTTCTCACGCCCATGTCAAGAACCAGATGATTCAGGTCCATGGATACACTCCTTTTCAGTTTGTGTTTGGCCGCAATCCACATGTTCCTCAGGATTTACTCAGTGAACCATTGTCCATTGTGCCAGCGACCGCCACACTGACCGATGAGGCAATCAGTCGGACACAAGCCATGAGGACATCCGCTCGAATGGCACTGGTTCAAATGCAGGACGACCGAGCAATGCGAGTCGCACTCCTGGCTCGACCTCGGAAACCAGTTTCCTTTCAACCAGGGGATATGGTGGCCTACTGGCGAAACCAAAAGTGGGTTCAAGGTCAGTTGCAGCAAGGAGGTCAGTGGTATGGGGTAGCCATTGTGTTAGGACATGTTGGCAGAAATCTCGTGTTGATCCATCGTAGGCAGGTGATTCGATGTGCACCTGAGCAAGTCCGACCCGCGACAAATGAAGAGAAGTGCCTGATCTCGTCTCCTGATGTTGAACTGCTAGGGATTAAGGACTTGATAGATAAAGGTAATCTGCACAGTCGTCAGTACCTAGACCTACTCCCACAGTCATATCCACCACAAGAGGGGGACGCAGACTCAAGGGAACATCCTGCGGAAACTGATCCAATGTCCGAAGCCAGTCGACTCCGTCCGCCAAGTGACGAACCTAGAATGGTCGAACAACGACCTGCTGATGGGCCTATGCCAGCCGTGACATCGTCGGCCACGGAACCAAAAGAACCAGCAGCACAAGAAACAGATCAATCTAGTCATCCAGAAGGAAGTCCCAGTGAGCGAGGAAATGTCAGTTTATCACCCTATCCATCGGGACCCCCAAGAGAATCCGAAAGCTCTGGTTCGTACGGACCGGTCCGCCGTCGAGTGTCCGGGAAAGATGGTCCGATGTCGCTGTGGAGACCTCCAGCCCTCAAGCAAGAAGACTTCATAGAAATCATGAAAGAGGTCGTACCCCAGCTAGTCGAAGATGCATGTGCCGACCGACCCAAGAGACCTTTATCACCCTCTAGTAATCCCGAAGTTGAAGAACCAGCCGCAAGTCGCCCGAGAACAGAAGAAACACTGAGTGTTCAGGATGTCTCCGATCTCATGTCACTTGCCGACTCGGAGTCCTGGGAATGCTTGATGGCCGAATACCTTAAGAAGAAGATGTCAAAAGAATTGCCTCATAGCAACAATCCCCCAGAACTTCAACAGAAGGTCCAACAAGGGAAACGAGCGGAATGGGAAACGATCACTTCAAAACCACATGCTGTTCGAATGCACTACGGTAAGAAAGCAAAACAAATTCGTGAACAGTATGGCAATCGATTCATCGGCAGTAGGTTTGTCTTGACCCGCAAGCCACTAGAGGAAGGCATGGAGATAGATCCCAATGACTTCAATACCTTCACGGTGAAGGGCCGGTGGTGTCTGCAAGGCCACCTCGACCCCGATCTCGAGGTAAAGGCCGAACAAGGCCTTTTGAAGTCGCCCACACTCAGTCAACTTGGTCGAATGTGCCTCCTCCAAGTGATCGCATCACAAAAGTGGGTGTTGCAATTAGGAGATATAAAAGGAGCGTTCCTCGAGGCAGGTCCGCTAAACCCTGAATTTCGTCCACTGTTTGCACATCAACCCGCAGGTGGCATTCCGGGAATCCCTCCTGACGCTGTGATAGAGATTGTTGGAAACCTGTACGGACAGAATGACGCTCCGTCGGCCTGGTTTCGTGAGTTCAGTGGGTTTGTTAAGTCTCTAGGGTGGCACCAAAGCGTTCTGGACCCGTGCCTGTTCACACTTCGAGATCCAAAAGATCACACACTAGTTGGTGTGATGGGTGTGCACGTTGACGACACGGCCGTTGGAGGCGCCGGAGACCACTTTGAAATGTCCATCAAACAACTCCGTGCCCGCTTTCCGTATCGGAAATGGCGAATGCAAGGTGGAGAGTTCTGTGGTGCATGGTATGATCAACAGAAAGACAAATCGATCATCATGTCAATGAAGTCATTTGCTGAAAAGATTCGACCAGTGAATGTGCCCAAGGACAGTTCTCCGTCCGAGCTGTTGTCGCCTGGTCAAATCAAGGTCCTACGAGCTGTAAATGGAAGCCTTAACTGGCTATCCTCTCAAGCCAGACCTGATTTAAGTGTGCAAACAAGTCTGTCCCAGCAGTCCTTTCCTCGACCAACCATAGAGGATTTCAGGATTGCAAATCAGGCCGTCAGACGTGCCCGTCAGCACAGGGAAGTTGGGGTGACGTTCAATCCAATTCCACTGAACGATCTAACCATAGTGTGTCACAGTGATGCAGCTTTTGCAAATAGAGGAAACCACACACAGGCTGGTTACATCATCGGTTTCACCGATAAGAAGTTGCACCTAGGACATGAAGCCCCATGGACCCCCGCCGCATGGCGAAGCTACCGCTTACAGAGGGCGGTGAGCAGCACGCTGGCCGCAGAAAGCCAAGCTATGTCAGTCGCCTCAGGAACTGCAGAGTGGATCTTGTTGCTTTTGGCTGAGACCATAGACGGCCCCCTGCAGATTCGCAGCTGCAGGAATGTGCTCAAAAGGCGACAGCCGATCATCGTCACCGACTGCAAGAGTTTGTACGATCATTTACACTCCCCGTCCTCACCAACATCCATAGAGGACAGACGAACCAGCATTGATGTAGTGATCATCAGGGAGAGCTGTAAGAACATGGAAGCCCTAGTTCGGTGGGTACCCACAAATAGGATGTTAGCAGATGGACTCACCAAGGACGCCGGTGATCCCATCGATCTCCTCCGTGCTTGTATTCGTAGGGCATCATATCAGATATCCCCGGAAGAAACGGTGTTAAAAATGCAAGCTGCCGAAAAACAGATTCGACGGCAAATCCAAGAGCAACGCTTGAAGGATTCGAAAGGTGCCGGTGGGGATCCAACACCTGAGGGGGTCTCAGGTGATTCATAAGTGGCAAACTTGAGTAAAAGTGAGGGTTCATTGTTTGGGAACAATGTAGCTAGGGTCGATACTCAGGTCTATGCAAGTTTTGCTTGTGAGTTTGTGTATGCACGTCGCAGCCTTTTTCTCGACCGGTCGCATTGAAGGCGATCGCATTTTGGAACGATCCATCGAAGTGCCTGCTTCTCAGCGGTTTCCTCCCAGCCTCACCATGGCTGGTACCAGTCAGCGTTTGTCCTCAGCAGTTGATGAGTTGCTGCAGAGGGTCCGAGATGAAGGATCCATGGACTCCCTCCTGAAGGAGCTGGGGTATGAGTTAGGTGAGTTCGAGCTTGTTCGTGAATCCGAAGGTCAAGGAAGTATGACGGATGCTTCCAAGAGGCGCATGGTTGATGAAGCCTCACCACTACCACAGAGGCCTATGGTTCGAGCAGCCAAAACTCGTGCCTCGTCAAAGTTGCCGTCCGGAGTGAGCAGCATGGAAGAGTGGGGCCGTACACTGGTAACGGCCGGAAAGTTCGAGAAGCACGAGATTTCGTACTCAGAGCTGGCATCATCGAGTGAGACTTCTAAGGTCAAGTACGTTCAGTGGATGATCAATCAGAGTGACCGCAGTGACCTCTCACCAGTGGTCCAGGACATGGCCAATTATTTTGTGGCCAATGCCCGCGAGAAGGAGGGACACGGCCCATGCATCCCCGGCTCGAGCGTGATCCGAAAGTTCAAAAGCTGAAAAGACGAATGCTGATGAGATGGCCGCTTGTCGTTCGTTGGAGCACCCATGATCCATTATGAGCCTTAGGTAAGGCACCCAAGCACTGGCTCCATTCGAACTTTAGAAAATATATCCAGTTGTGATTGCACGCATGGCAGGCATGAGTTCGTCGTTCCACCAGGGACTTTTCGGCGCGAGGTGAAAAAGCCCGATCGATCCCTTCAGGCGAAGGGTAGTTGCTCCGCAAGTGGTATTTTTGTTTCGCCCTCTCAAAACCCTCTCCTTTCGAGGTTCAAGAACGTTCCCGAAGCTCGGGTGGAGAGGTCAAACCGCCCTCTCCTTTCAAGCACTGTCGTCGATTTTTTCACCTTCGAGCTGAGAAGTCAGCTCGCGCCTTGCCCGCTTCCAACTTTCTAAGGTTTTTTAATTAGCAAGCCCCGGCCGAAGCAGCCAGTGACTTAACCTCAAGCCTACAACAAACCCTGCAACCTTGGCCGAAGCAGCCAATGGAAGTAACGGCTGCTGCGACGAAGTTAGCCCGGCCTGCTCTTTTTGGAAAGGCGTGCTGCAGCCTTAGGCCACACGATCCCACTTTTGAAGCTGCCAGTCTTCAAATAAAGGGAGTCAGGTACGATCTGCACTGCAAAGGCAAAATCCCCAAACCAAGTCTCCAACATAGTGTCCCAGTCGAAGCGGTCGTGAGTCGCCCGACTTTGCGACAATGCTGCCATCACTTCAGTAGCGTGCCAAAAGTCATTTTTGACATAATTATTCAATGCCAGTGTCTTGCCTGGCGCACGCGCAGGAAGAGCAGTCATGATTCTGTGCTTTGGTCGCGAGTGAAGGTCGGACAACGCGATTGTGGTGCAAATATCCAAAGCAGAAACAATGTCTTCCAACGCATCCACTGCTTCTTCAGGCAATTGTTGCCAAGTCCAGAGTAGGGCATTTCTTGTGCGTTCCACCCGGTCAAGGACTTGGAACAAAGGAAAAGCCAGAAGCAACCTCTGACGGCTCCATGGTTGCAAAGTGCAGAAACTGAGTTTCTTCGTGTGAACTTTTCTCAGCGCGACTTGTCACAGGCATGAGCGCTGCAAAGGAGCTAGCCATTGAACTCTTTTAAGTGTTAACTACTTAGCCTCAAATTTGAGCCCCAAGCTGAAAGCAAACACTATACCGAGCTGGACGTGGATGACGACTTGACTGAAGTTAGGAAAACCAGGGCTTTGGTGCAAAACTTGGATTGTTTTCCCCATAGCTGACCTTAGTTGACTCACTGCTAAAAAAGCTTCTGGCCGCATCAGCCAGGAAGCTGACCTTAGTCGACTCACTGCCAAAATAGCTTCTGGCCGCATCAGCCAGGAAGCCAAGCAGCCAAGCGTAGTGCCACCCATTGAGAGTTTGCGAGCCTTGGTACGCGCATGTTTTTTTAAGTTCTCATGCTGCAGGGAGCCTGCCTCTCTGACAGCAATACATAGCGAACTTACTGCTGCATTTGCTGAAGCTGCATGCTTTGCAACCAATGCCCCACGGTTGCTCTTGGTCTGACAGCCATGACCCACCTTCAGGATCATGTGGGCTCAAAACAGAAACTCATGAGTCCACTTGTCGCATAAGCGCTTCCATTTCTTGTATGCAGAATCCTTCTCACATAGCGTCATGACAAGTGC